CGGGGCCCACGTAAACGCGTATACCGGAGTGTCCATTGTCAAGGGTGGCAAGAAGGCGAGCATCCTGACCATCGATTCCGTTCATGCAGGACATGCGGGAAACTACACCTGCAAGGCGCGAAATGATGCGGACTCTGCGGAATATACAGCAGAGTTGATTGTGAATGGTGATTGAGTGGGATATTCAGATCAGACAGAGCTACCTTTTATTGATTTTATTATCGTTTTAAATCCCACATCCCTTCTACACCCATTTAGCCCCACCCAAAATTGCACCCTTCGACTTTGGGCAGTCGCCATCGAACTTCGAGGACTCCGTTTCTGTCAACTGTCTGGTCACCTCGGGTGATCTGCCCATCGATATCGAGTGGCTGTTTGGTGGAGAGCCCATCAATTATGCAACAGGCATTGCGGTTTTACGAGGGGGCAAGCGGACCAATCTCCTCACAATAGATTCAGTGCATGCAGGACATGCGGGAAATTACACCTGCAAAGCGAGGAACAAAGCGGCAAGCAGCGAATATTCAGCGGCCCTGATTGTTAACGGTTGGCAGGGGACAATAGTTACCTAAATTTAAATAAGAGTTCTTTCTTGATTTTCTGACTATTATTTCTCCATACCATTACCCTTCCCACAAGCTCCGCCCAAAATCACACCCTTCAGCTTTGGCGAAGAGCCTGCAAATGTGGAGGACTCCGTGTCAGTAACGTGCCTAATCTCAACTGGAGATCTACCCATCGATATTGAGTGGTTTTTCAACGACTACGGCATTAGTTCCTATTCGGGAATTTCGGTTATGAAGGGAGGCAAGCGAAATAGTGTACTCAGCATCGATAGTGTCCAGGCCCGTCATGCGGGAAATTATAGTTGTCGGGCCAAAAATCATGCTGCTGCTGTTAATTACACCACCGTCCTGATTGTGAATGGTACTTCTTTCTATAGGTTTACTATTAATATTAATGTTTGCTCTCATTTGTTAATTACTCCATTTGAATTTGTTAATTTGAAACTCCTAAAGCTCCCCCGAAGATTACACCTTTTACCTTTGGAGATGAGCCCACCAACTTTGAGGATTCCGTCTCGGTCACTTGTCTCATATCCAGCGGAGATTTACCCATCGATATTGAGTGGTTCTTTAACGATTACGGCATTAGCTCCTATTCGGGAATTTCGGTTGTGAAGGGAGGGAAACGGAATAGTGTACTGAGTATCGATAGTGTCCAGGCCCGTCATGCGGGAAATTATAGCTGTCGGGCCAAGAACCATGCCGCTGCTGTAAATTATACCACCAGCCTGATTGTGAATGGTATTACTTCATTAGGTTCTTCTATTAATCATAAATGTTACTTTTCGTTTATTAATCTTTCCGTTTGACTTTATCCCAAAGTTCCCCCAAAGATTACACCTTTTGACTTTGGAGACGAGCCCGCCAATGTTGAGGATTCTGTGTCGGTCACTTGTTTAATAACCAGCGGAGATTTGCCCGTCGATATTGAGTGGTACTTTAACGATTACGGCATTAGCTCTTACTCTGGTATCACTGTTGTTAAGGGAGGGAAACGAAGCAGTGTCTTGGGTATAGATAATGTCCAGGCACGACATGCTGGAAAATATAGTTGCCGTGCGAAGAATCATGCAGCTGCAGTCAACTACACATCCGATCTTGTAGTAAATGGTATTTGAGATATTATTTAGGACAACTTTAGATTAGAACTAAGAATTTGTATTAGTTTCTGTTATATTTTAAAAAATTAATCCTTAAAGTTCCCCCAAAAATCACACCCTTCGACTTCGGCGATGAACCGACCAATGTTGAGGATTCGGTTTCGGTAACTTGCCTGATCTCCAGTGGAGACTTACCCATCGATATCGAGTGGCTATTTAATGACTACGGCATAAGCTCATACTCGGGAATGACTGTTCTCAGAGGTGGAAAGCGAACAAGCATGCTGACTATAGATAATGTTCATGCTAGTCACGCGGGGAAATATAGTTGTCGGGCCAAGAATCACGCAGCTGCTGTTAATTACACCACAGAATTGATTGTGAATGGTACTTCTTTTGACGTCTTAGTCTTGTAGATTAGCATATGATTTTTTCTATATTTATCAATTATTTTTTTAATCCAAAGTTCCCCCAAAAATCACACCCTTCACCTTCGGCGATGAACCGACAAATGTTGAGGACTCGGTTTCGGTGACTTGCCTGATCTCCAGTGGAGATCTACCCATCGATATCGAGTGGTTATTTAACGACTACGGAATTAGCTCCTTCTCTGGAATGACTGTCTATAGAGGAGGGAAAAGAACAAGCATGTTGACTATAGACAATGTTCATGCTCGTCATGCGGGGAAATATAGTTGTCGGGCGAGGAATCATGCATCCGCTGTTAATTACACAACTGAATTGATTGTGAATGGTATTGCTTATGGATTTGTTCTCTCTAAAAATTAACTAGAGTTTATTTTCTTTAAAGTTTAATTTCTTTACACCTTCCTTGTTGCACCCAACACACACTAAAGCCCCACCGAAACTAGCGCCTTTTGACTTTGGTGAATCCCCTGCTAACTTTGAGGACTCCGTTTCGGTCAACTGTCTTGTATCCTCCGGTGACTTGCCCATTGATATTGAGTGGGTATTCAACGGAGAGCCCATTAACTACGCTTCGGGAATTGCGGTCCTGCGAGGAGGCAAGCGGACCAGTGTTCTCACAATAGACTCCGTGCATGCAGGACATGCGGGGAACTACAGCTGCAAGGCCAAGAACAAGGCGGCCAGCAGTGAATATTCGGCGGCCTTAGTTGTCAATGGTTATTATACTCTCTATGGGATATATAACTTTAATCATTTTTAGCCAGATTTAAGTTTATTGTTTTATTTCCTCCCATAAAATCAAGTTCCTCCCAAAATCACGCCCTTCGACTTTGGTGATACCCCAACGAATGTGGAGGACTCTGTGTCGGTCATGTGTCTGATTTCCAACGGTGACTTACCCATTGATATCGAGTGGTTTTTTAACGATTACGGAATTAGCTCATACTCTGGAATAAATGTAGTAAAAGGTGGCAAGAGGAATAGTGTGCTGAGTATCGATAGTGTCCAAGCGCGACATGCAGGAATGTACAGTTGTCGGGCTAAGAATCATGCGGCTGCTGTTAACTATACCACCCAACTTATTGTGAACGGTATTCATATTGAATAGTTTTAAATGTTTTTAGTCCTAAGGATTTTCTTAATTTCTTGCAATTTTCATTAAACTTCCCCTTCATTCCAAAGTTCCTCCAAAAATCACGCCTTTCGACTTCGGAGACGAACCTACAAATGTTGAGGATTCCGTTTCGGTGACTTGTCTCATCTCCAGCGGAGATCTACCCATCGATATCGAGTGGTTTTTCAATGACTACGGAATTAGCTCGTACTCCGGCATAAATGTAGTAAAAGGTGGCAAGAGGAACAGTATGCTGAGTATCGATAGTGTACAGGCGCGACATGCGGGGCAGTACAGTTGTCGGGCCAAGAATCACGCTGCAGCTGTAAACTATACCACCAAACTGATAGTTAATGGTACTTTTGGGGACATTTTTTTTACTTTTCTGTAACATATTTACATTCCTATATTATTTCGTGAAACCTTTTGTGTTAAGATCCCATGGTTTTCCCTACTGTGTTCATTAGTTGCCCCCAAGATCGCACACTTTGACTTTGGCGAAGTTGCGGCTAATTTTGAGGATTCGGTTTCCGTGAACTGTTTGGTCAGTTCTGGGGACCTACCGCTCGACATCGAGTGGCTGTTCAACGACTATCCCATCAACCATTACTCGGGCATATCCACCTCGAAGATGGGAAAGCGCCTCAGTGTGCTGATGATCGATGGCGTGAATGCCCGCCACGTGGGCAACTACACCTGCAAGGCGAGGAATCTGTGGGCATCGGCTGTCTACACGGCCCAGTTGATAGTGAATGGTACTTTGCCTGGGAAGATGCAGCTTTTGTACAGCACTTGAGTGTCGTTCTGCTTTAGTTGGTTTCTATTAGTAAGCATCCCCTATTTCAGTTATTCCTAAACACAGTACACCACTACAAATTGCATGTTTGCTTTGGCTTTTGTGTCTTGGCTTTTGTGGCTTAGTTCTAAGGGGGATCTCTAGGGTAAAGCTTATTTTTCCTACATCCCTTGATCAATCATTCTTTTCCAAGTGCCACCCCATATCAGTCCCTTTGAATTCGGCGATGAGCCCGCCAACTTTGGCGATTCGGTGACCGTGCAATGCACCATTTCGAAGGGCGACCAGCCGGTGGACATCACCTGGTTGTTCAATGACTATGCCATCAACGAGTACCACGGGGTCACCACTTCGAAGATCGGCAAGAAGGTCAATGTGCTGACGATTGATTCGGTCAATGGCAACAATGCGGGCAACTACACGTGCCGGGCCAGGAACAAGGCCCAAATGGTGGAGTACACAGCCGCCCTGATTGTCAACGGTGGGCTGGATATCAAAATGCATTCTTAATCCCTAGTGTAGATAGTGATCATCTTGATTTGTTTTGATTTTCCGTATTTCTATGTTGATTTCACACTGCTTTTGTGTTTTGTGTACCCCGCAAGTCTTGCCCCAAATCACGCCCTTTGCCACCGGTTCGCAGCCCACCCATCTGGGCCAGTATATCACCTACCAGTGCACCCTGACGGAGGGCGATCTGCCCCTCAACATCCGCTGGACGTTCAACAACCAACCGCTTTTCAATGACGATGACCAGGACATCCTCATAGCCAAGATGGGTCGAAGGAGTAGTGTGCTGACCATCGAGAGTGTGGCCGATCGTCATGCGGGCAACTATAGTTGTCATGGGGAAAATGCCGCTGGCAGGGCCACCTACAGCACCCAGTTAAAAGTTATAGGTCCTGACCCTTAGTCTTAAGTGGAGCTTCCTTGCGATTATGATTTAATTTTGTGCACCTTTTATTTTACCATATATCCATCACCGAAACACGTAGTTCTGCCGCGCATCATACCCTTCGCCTTCGAGGAGGGTCCCGCCCAGGTGGGTCAGTACCTGACGCTCCACTGCTCCGTGCCTGGAGGGGATCTGCCCCTGACCATCGACTGGACCCTGGATGGCCAGCAAATCTCCGAGGATCTGGGCATCACCACGGCCCGCGTGGGTCGTCGCGGAAGTGTGCTGACCATCGAGGCCGTGGAAGCCTCACATGCGGGCAATTTCACCTGCCATGCGCGGAATTTGGCGGGGCATCAGCAGTTCACAACGCCGCTGAACGTCTACGGTTAGGAATTCTCCGGGTTTCGGGTCGCTCGAGTAGTTTCTTTGTGGCCGGTTACTAACCCCTGCGTCTGCAAAAAGTGTCGCTGCATGACTTTCTGTCTCTGCTGCTGCTGTCCTCTCTCTTTTTTCTGAATCTCTGACCGATCTTAGACCCATCACTTTAGTTTGAAATGGCCTGTAGCACTGTCACACAAAAAAGCTTGCATGTATGTCACCCAGATTGCACTGAACTGTAAGGATTAGAATAGGATACAGAACTAAGGGAAGAGTTTGTTTTCGAAGTTTCCTTAGAATATTAGGGGGTTGTGTCTTATAATCATCAAGTGATAGGAATTTATAGGCAGAAGTTTTCTATACATTTTATATTTTATGTTTAACTTTTATTTCTCCCACTATTTTTTTGGAAACTCTAAATTGAAGTGCCCCCCAAGCTGGCGCCTCTGCCCGCGAATTCGCCCCTGTACGTGGGCGACTACTACCAGCTGTCCTGCGCGGTGGTCCATGGCGATGCGCCCTTCAACATTACCTGGTACTACAATGGCCAACCAGCCGGAGATTTGCCCGGGGTCACCATCCTGATGCACGGCCGGCGCAGCAGTTCGCTGAACATCGAGAGCGTCGGGGGTGATCATGCCGGGAATTACACCTGCAAGGGCGCCAATCGGGCGGGCGAAACCCTGGCAGAGACCACCCTGAGTGTCAAGGGTTTGTTTTTACCTTCTCCTTAACAAGAATCCATTGCTGGAGGTGGCTTCCTAGTAGGCTCCTAGAATAGGATGAAGGCATCTGTAAATCCCCACTCTCTTTCTAATCTATGTCTTTGTGTTTTTGGTGTTGGTACTGCATTAGCACGAACCTGTATTATACAACACGAGTTGGGGACACTCGACATTCCCCCTGCTGTACAGTGTGTTTTATCGATTGCACGGCTTTCTTATCACCCCATCCTCCCCGCAGAGCGACCCCAAGTCGACCAGTTTCAGTTCAATGCCAACGGGGTAAATGGCGGCCAGGCGGTGCAGGTCATGTGCATGGTCTCCTCCGGGGACCTGCCCATCGACATCTACTGGCTGAAGGACGGACAGCCGCTGCTGCGCTCCATCTACCACAAGATCGACGAGTACACCCTGATCCTGTCCCTGCGCCAGACGACCATCGGCGACTCCGGCAACTACACGTGTGTGGCCAGCAATGCGGCGGGATCGGCCAGTCGCTGGTCCATCCTGAAAGTGAAGGGTACTGCCGGTCACTCCGTGGTGTGAATATCTGTAAATTGTGCCTTTTTTGTTCGTTTGTATAAAGTTATCCTTCATTGATTCTATCCTGAAGGCCCACAAGTTTTATCTTTAAATAGGGAAAATAATGTAGGGCAGCTTTTCATACAGGGTATTACAGTATACCTTAAATTATGAATAGTTTCTTATTGTATTAACTTGTGATTTCAAAATTAAATAAAACGAAAAGGAGAGCAATTAGAAAATATGTATTTAATTTCTGAAGTCCTCTAAAAATGAATTCACATTTTTGTGCGAAAAATAAATTTCAACCATATTTTTAGCTAAGCACTCATTTCTTCCTTATTTGTTCCTGACTTAAGATTAGTTTCTACTAGGAAGTGTTATGATAGAAAGAACACTGATAAGTGGAATGGGTTTATTTTTTTACGACCTGAAAACTTAATAATGGCGCTCTTTTTCCCTCAATTTAAATAATTTCCCAAGAACCACCTGTGCTGTCTTCGCTGCTGCTTTCCGCTTCCGTTTGCGATGTCGGCGATTATGTGCAACTCACCTGCATTGCCAGTCGGGGGGCCACGCCCATTTTGTTCGAATGGTGGCTAGATGGGCGACAGGTGCACGATGACGGCGACGATGACGTCACTCAGGCCACAGTGGGCGAGCACACCAGTCTACTGCTAATCAACAGGGCGGGTGAGGGGCATGCGGGTAACTACAGTTGCCGGGCGATCAACCAGGTGGGCGTGGCAGAACGCCGGACCAGGCTAGTTGTGAATGGTAATTTGGGGGAATCAGATTTGTGCCATTTCCTTCTCACTTTCGTCTCCTCTTGCTCCAGCTAATCCAGTTTTTCTTCGACTTCCTTGATTTTATCGATATTCCGCAACTGTAGACCAAGTGAAACCAAGTCCATTGAGGTCTAAATACTCTTGTAAATATGTGAAGTTTGAACTCAACCAGTAAACCGTTAAGCGTCGGGCAAAGTTAGTCCAGATCTAACCAAGGTCCCACTGTATATCTATATCTACTCAGCTTATTCGATCGTTATCCATATGTCAAAACAGCTCAGATCTGACTCTGCACACATACATGCACAGCTATACCCACACACACACACAGCACTCTACTAAGCACTGTCCTTGAAAAGAAATTCAGGGATACGACTCACAGCCTGACAGTTTCTAATTTGTTAAACTCCTCGAGAGGTTTTGGTTTTTATGTAAAATACAAGTTCACAGGGCTCATGCTCCAACACCGAATAAACCAATAGCTGCAAGATCTAATCCAATATCATAATCGCTTCTAATTGTCTACTTAATCCAAACTAAACCTAAACGTAACTAAGGAACTCAGTCTTCCGTCAAACGAGACTGAGTATGTGCGCTTCCACAAACGTAAACAATTCGCCCTGATCTGTCCAGCCCTGAAATAACCCACATATCCCATTCCAATCCTTCATTACTTATCTATTAATTTATTAATCATTATTTACCTAGTTAGTAAGACACAAAACGAAGTCTGTTGGCGAAGAAATACAAAATGCCTAGAGTAACCTAAAAACAGAACTTCGTTTTGCACTGATTGCATGAAATTTAACCTTTAGTTTGTTCTAACTTTAGTTTCATTAAAGCCCCACTTTCATTTGTCCCTTTATCATCTTGGTTATTTGTGCTAATATTTCGGTTGTAGTTTGGACTTTTACTTTTATCTTGATAATAAGTGAATGTGTGGACATGTTTTAATGTGCTTCGAGTATATGATCTTTAATCAACAGTCAAGCAATTGCCATGATAGAGGAAACCATTAAGATATTTCCACACATTAAAAGAAAACTGAAATGATACGATTTATTTAATCTTATTTTCTAAAACTCGTTATCCAATTAAAATATGAAAAACTTGAAAAAATCATTTCACTTTGCTTGAATCTACGTCTGTCCTTCCGATTCCTCTGATACTCTTAACCCACTGCATGCAATTAATTATGCTAAGAAACCACCACATATCGACTAACATATTATCTTTCCACATCGCGTCAACCAACAAACTCGACCAACAGTACCACCCAGATGGATCCTCGAGCCCACTGATAAGGCCTTCGCCCAGGGTTCCGATGCCAAGGTTGAGTGCAAAGCTGATGGCTTCCCCAAACCCCAGGTCACATGGAAGAAAGCAGTTGGTACGTATAAATTATTCTAAAAACCCTATGAAAAATACTAAGAACAATTATATCAGGCGATACCCCCGGAGAGTACAAGGACCTGAAGAAGAGTGACAACATTCGCGTGGAGGAGGGCACTCTGCATGTGGACAACATCCAAAAGACCAATGAGGGTTACTACCTGTGCGAGGCTATCAATGGTATCGGCTCGGGACTCTCGGCAGTGATCATGATCAGCGTTCAGGCACCTCCAGAGTTCACCGAGAAGCTGCGTAACCAGACCGCCCGTCGAGGAGAACCCGCCGTTTTGCAGTGCGAGGCGAAGGGCGAGAAACCCATTGGCATCTTGTGGAACATGAACAACATGCGACTGGACCCCAAGAACGACAACCGATACACCATTCGCGAGGAGATCCTTTCCACCGGAGTTATGTCCAGTTTGTCCATTAAGCGCACCGAAAGATCCGATTCCGCCCTCTTCACCTGTGTGGCCACCAATGCCTTTGGTTCCGACGATGCCAGCATAAATATGATTGTCCAAGAGGTTCCCGAGATGCCCTATGCCCTGAAGGTGCTCGACAAGTCCGGAAGATCCGTGCAGCTGAGCTGGGCGCAACCCTACGATGGCAACTCCCCGCTGGACAGGTACATCATTGAGTTCAAGCGTTCCCGTGCCTCCTGGAGCGAAATCGATCGCGTTATTGTGCCTGGACACACCACCGAAGCCCAGGTGCAGAAACTGAGCCCCGCCACCACCTACAACATTCGCATCGTCGCCGAGAACGCCATTGGTACATCGCAATCCTCCGAAGCTGTGACCATCATCACGGCCGAAGAAGCCCCGTCCGGCAAGCCGCAGAACATCAAGGTCGAGCCCGTGAACCAGACCACCATGCGCGTCACCTGGAAGCCACCGCCACGCACCGAGTGGAACGGAGAGATCCTGGGCTACTACGTCGGCTACAAGCTGTCCAACACCAACTCATCGTATGTCTTCGAGACCATCAACTTTATCACCGAGGAGGGCAAGGAGCACAACCTGGAGCTGCAGAACCTACGCGTCTACACCCAGTACTCGGTGGTGATTCAGGCATTCAACAAGATCGGAGCCGGTCCACTCAGCGAGGAGGAGAAACAGTTCACGGCCGAGGGAACGCCCAGCCAACCGCCCAGCGACACCGCCTGCACCACCCTGACCTCGCAGACCATCCGTGTCGGTTGGGTAAGCCCACCTCTGGAATCCGCCAACGGAGTGATCAAGACCTACAAGGTTGTCTATGCCCCCAGCGACGAGTGGTATGGTAAGTAAAGTCTACCCTTTTGGAATTGGTTAATTCTTTTAAATCAGTGGTGGCTATCCCACGGGATAGGCAGTTTCTCTACCGCTGCGCTGCCAGCGTTTCGACGCACAAGCACGCAGTGGCTTCTGCTACTGTTTTAAATACCATTTTTGAATATTTTTTCTCTGTATAAAAACTATTTTAGATGAGACCAAGCGACACTACAAGAAGACTGCCTCCTCCGACACCGTTCTCCATGGCCTCAAGAAGTACACCAACTACACAATGCAGGTTTTGGCCACCACAGCCGGAGGAGATGGCGTTCGCAGCGTACCAATCCACTGCCAAACTGAACCCGATGGTGGGATATAATTAAAAAATAATAAAAAACACAGACTAACCACTTTCCTTGAACAGTTCCCGAAGCTCCCACCGATGTAAAGGCCCTGGTTATGGGAAATGCCGCCATCCTGGTTTCGTGGCGTCCACCAGCACAGCCCAATGGAATCATTACCCAGTATACCGTTTACTCGAAGGCCGAGGGAGCCGAGACTGAGACGAAGACCCAGAAAGTGCCCCACTACCAGATGAGTTTCGAGGCCACTGAATTGGAGAAGAACAAGCCCTACGAATTCTGGGTCACGGCTAGCACTACCATTGGCGAGGGACAGCAGTCCAAGAGCATCGTGGCCATGCCCAGCGACCAGGTGCCCGCCAAGATCGCCTCCTTCGACGACACCTTCACCGCCACCTTCAAGGAGGACGCCAAGATGCCCTGCCTGGCCGTTGGAGCTCCCCAGCCAGAGATCACCTGGAAGATCAAGGGCGTCGAGTTCAGTGCCAACGATAGAATGCGCCTACTGCCCGATGGATCGCTGCTGATTAAGTCGGTTAATCGTCAGGATGCCGGTGACTATTCCTGCCACGCTGAGAACTCTATTGCCAAGGACTCGATTACGCACAAACTGATTGTCCTGGCACCTCCTCAATCGCCCCATGTCACTTTGTCTGCCACCACCACCGATGCCCTGACCGTCAAGCTAAAGCCCCATGAAGGAGACACTGCCCCTCTGCATGGTTACACCCTGCACTACAAGCCAGGTGGGTATTTTCTTAAACTAAGGATAAGTTTTAAAATTAACCTTGATCCAATTTCAGAATTTGGAGAGTGGGAAACCTCCGAAGTATCCGTTGACTCACAGAAGCACAATATTGAGAGTCTGTTGTGCGGCTCCCGTTATCAGGTTTATGCTACAGGATTTAACAAGTAACAATCAAAAATTCCTGTTATAAATGCCGACTAATTACCAACCTCTTTTAGCATTGGTGCTGGCGAGGCTTCAGACATATTGAACACCCGGACCAAGGGACAAAAGCCCAAGTTGCCTGAGAAGCCGCGCTTCATTGAAGTCTCCTCCAACTCCGTATCGCTGCACTTTAAGGCCTGGAAAGATGGTGGTTGCCCCATGTCCCACTTTGTGGTAGAGAGCAAGAAACGGTAGATCATCACATTCCAAAAACACTTTAGACCTTTTCTAAGATTTTTTATCCCCGTAGTGATCAAATCGAATGGAACCAGATCTCCAACAATGTGAAGCCTGACAACAACTACGTGGTTTTGGACCTGGAACCCGCCACCTGGTACAATCTCCGCATCACCGCCCACAACTCGGCTGGCTTCACTGTGGCCGAATATGACTTTGCCACTCTGACCGTTACCGGAGGTATTTATGATCTGTTCTCCGATTCCCACATGAATCCTGCATTGCTTTTGTACATAGAGTACTCTACGTTGACAGTTTTGGGGTAGGATTCTGAAAGTACCAATCCAAGGGCATCCTGTAAACCCATCAAGTGGGTTTGGATTTCCGATGGAATGGTTTCGGGATCTCGTCCCCAAAACACTGTCCATATACAAATAACAAGATGAGAAGCACCAAGCTATACAATGTTGTACACCCAATTTCCTGAGTTTTTTGTTTGTCTTTACCAATCACAAAAAAGTTAAACCATATTTTAAAGAAATATGAGCAATTTATGATTTCTTTGCTTTCAATGTGAACAAATTGCACAGTATTTTATTATTTTTTGTTACCCACACAAAGCTTGTCGATATACCTAGTTGCTTTAGTTCTATTATGATTTTATTGACTTTGAAAATAGTTATTAATTTCGATTTTTAACTACCAGAACTCTGAACGCAGAAGCACCCGAATAATGTTTCCTTACGTAAATGCAATTTGTTTCCTTCCGTTTTTATCAACAATCCCAAATGAAGAGCTATTGCAACGTATATATGCATATGTACATAACTGAATAGTTTACTAACTCACCAAACAGCCACGATTTTAATTTTCATTTACGTTTTACTAGACCCAAGCATTTGTAGTGCTCTAGATCACAGTATGAATATGTAGGACCTTCCAAGTCAATTCAATTTTAAACCATTAAGTGTTGATATTGACAAATAATGTAAATGGTCTTATTGACGTGGAATGTCCTTGTTTTATTTCTTATGATTTTCCTTTTATATTATTTTTGCATTTCTGTGCCCAGTTTGTGAAAGAGTTTTTGTAAAATACACTTCCATTGTGGAATAAGAAAATCGATTGAGCCCAAATAGCTGTCGTTATCACGCATATGAACTAAATGTTGTTAAACCTGCCGATCCATTCCCAAATCGATAGATTGTACAAAACTCCAATCGATGTCCCTCCTGCTAATAACAATTTTTGAAAGGATTTTCCATTTTTAACTCATTGAGTTAGAATTCCCCATCCACAACTGGTCACAGAATCGATTCACTCACCAAAAAACATTACATTTATTATTTTAGCTAACTTGTTTTGCTTTGTTTTGTTTGATTAAAAATAGCAAAGTGCTCATTTACCATAAGCTTGGAAAAGACAAAGCAAATGTGAAACTCAATCCCAAGAATCGAGCAGAGCCACCATACCATAACAATCAAGCACAACAACCAAAGAGTCTTTGAATCTTCATTCCTGTTATCTGGGAGTCCTGGCCAGAGAGTCTGATTGCGAGAGAGTTGATTTCTTAAACTTTTACTTATGGTTCGACTTATACTTATCACTACAGTCACACGCAGACATTTTCTTTTGGGTTTTTTGCCATTTCGATTTAAATTTCGATTTTAGTTGAAGTTATGTCAAGTTACAGTTGAGTTCCACCTAAGTTAGTTGGTTTATTTCAAGGAGACTTGTCTCGTTCTTGGAATGCTCTTCCATTCGTTTCGTCCAGTTTTAGCGATCTTACAACATACATCATTAACTAGCTCTAAGCGGATCACAAACAAATTGCATTTAAACGTATTTAAAAACCTAAACTAAACAGTTTTTTATAAAGTTACGAGTTTTTTAATAGTTTAACTAGTTCTCATATAAACTTACTCACATTTTGATGCGTGCTTAAAGTTCTGCGATGTGTAAATTAATCGAAAACCATAACTATAATTACATTATATATTTTTCTCTCTTATGAATATCGAAAATTACGACTCAATATCGACAAGTTAACCTTTGAACTCTTTTCACCTGCCACAGTCTGTATTTGTATATGTATGTGTTGAGTGTTTACGAATTGTGCCCGGTACAAAGGTCAATTTGCCGGCAGAGGTGAAAGGCTATAACTGATCTTTCTGTCTATCTCTCTCTCTCTCTGTGTGTGTCTCTCTCTCTCTCTGTCCCACTGTCCTGTTTTTCCACACCCACTGATTTGCCAAAAAAAACCACCCTTTGGTTGTTGTTGTTATTGTTGTTGCAGGCACTATCGCACCCTCGCGAGATTTACCCGAATTAAGCGCCGAGGACACGATCCGCATTATCCTCTCGAACCTAAATTTAGTTGTGCCCGTCGTGGCGGCTCTGCTCGTCATAATCATAGCGATAATTGTTATTTGTATACTGCGTAGCAAGGGCAATCACCACAAAGGTATCTATGCTGAAAAACTAATTAAGAATTTCGTTCTCTTTTCGGTTTCTCTCTACTTCTCTCTGAACACCACGAACCTTAAAACTTCAAAACACACCCCACACTTGCTCTTAAAAAATATTGCTTGTACTGCCTGCCCCAATATCCCCACTTGTTGTTGTCAATATGACCCGCCCAAAATTGCATGAATGGTTTGTATGGCCCCCTCGTGAATCTCTGAAGGCACCATTGCGCCCCTGGACGATGGAACGGGTCACGGAAACGTGCACACCCGCATCCGACTGCCCGCCTGGATGCCCGAGTGGCTCGACCTGAACTTCATGGTCCCCCTGATCGCCACCGTCGTCGTGGTGGCGGTGGGCATCTGCGTGGTGTGCGTGGCTTTATCCCGGAGACGAGCGGACGACATGCGCGGCGGCCAGAAGGATGTGTACTGTAGGTTCTCCGCCAAGGACTTGCCCACAAGCACAACGTCTTCCTATCTAATCATATCACCATTATTGTTTATTGTAGATCCTAGCAAAATATTTTATTTCTGTTTTGCTTCATATTGGCTAAATATTGGTGGGGATAATGATTATATTTTTTGGGATAACTATTTAATTCGTTTTAATTTTTTCAACATTTTAAAGTTAAATTTGTATTATTAATTTACTAGTATTTAGCCAATATGTCGATAAGTTTAGCCGTCACTCTTGAAAACAAAATGGTCGGTTGGTAAACATTTTATTAATTACTGGAATGTCAGTGTGTAGTTTGGCTTTGCATGATTTACTTATTGAGACATTTATACAAGCTACACTTACAAAAATAAACCAAAAGTACGCACTCCAAAAAAATACCAACATAAACAGCAAGACAATTACTGAAAATATACCAAACTCTTAATATCACTATGGACGGCAGTCCATGTAGTGACGAAGCGCACCAGGAGAGTGTGCGAAGGCGACTACTATTATATAGCCGCAAAATTGAAAATCTGCTGTGATAGTCCGATCGTAATGAGTAATACACCAATCGAAAGGTATTGCAAAAACTTAAAGGATTGCATACCAAGACTTTAAGAAAATCAATTGGCTTGGGAGAGAGCGGTGAAAGTGAAAAAGTGAAAATTTCGAAATTTGGAGCTGTTGGGGCCGGTGGGGATAAATGCCCCCTCGCAATATTTTAGTTGTATTCCTTTTGAAAATACCCGTCGAATGAGGGGTCATTTGTCAAAATCCGACTCTCCGTTCAAAGTTATAGCCAAAATAAGATTTTCTTCTTCTTCCCAAAATGAAAATTTAATTCTGTTTGTCAGTTTGTCCACTTGTCCACTTGTCCACTTGTCCAAAATATGTTTTTTAAGTTCTGAAAATTTGATATGACGTTCATCACATCGATATTAAAAACTTTTGTTCTACCACTTTTGGAAAACTCGCTAGTTTAGCGGGAAAACAGCTATAAGTAGCTAAAATTCGGAAAGCCGTAACTTCTATACTACTAAAGCTACAGACTTGTGTTATATCTCGTTTGAAAGGTATTTTTAAATGCTATAAACGCTTTCTATATGCAATTTGTGTAAATGTAATAGTTAAAAAATATGAACAAAAGACAATTTTTTAAAACTTTTTTTTAGCTTTTTTTATTTTTCTCAAAAACGGCTCTAACGATTTTCTTTAAAACCTTAAACTGTATAGCCCTTGAGATTCCTTAAATTTTGGTATATAACACATTACTGTAAAAAGTCACGTTTAAAAGTTATTTTTATACGAAAATAGCCACTGTTGCCAGCTCGAACAACTAACGCTCCCTGAGTATTGAATTTTGTGTGAGGGTATCCGAACTGTATTTTAGGGTCATGGAATCAGTAAATTTGCAAGAGTTCCATATAGGAATCTTTTGTTCTACGACTTTTGGAAAAGCCGCTACTTTAGCGGGAAAAAGCTAAAAATGGCTAAATTTCGTTAGTTTGTAAGTTCTACACTACTAAAGGTACCGACATGTGCTATACCTCGTTTAAAGGTATTTTGAAATACTTCAACGCCTTTTTAACTTAATTTGTTAAAATACAATAGTTTAAAAATGATGATTGACCAATTTAAATTTAAATGTATATATTAGCTCCTATGAGAGCAAATGTAAACAAACAAAAACTTCTGATATCAAATAAAAACACCTCTTAACGAGGTAAAAAACTAGTGACGATCGCACCTTCAACATACAAAGTTCTGATATCAACATTTGTGACGAAAAATTATTACCTCGTCATTAAATAGACTTTCTAATATTTTTTCATTCGGCACGCTGCAATAGAAAATGCCTGTGAAGGGAAAAGGCTGGAATAGTCTGCTAGGGCGGGCCGAATGAGAAAATATTAGAAAGTCTATTTAATGACGAGTGTAATAATTTTTCGTCACAAATGTTGATATCAGAACTTTTGTATGTTGAAGGTGCGATCGTCACTAGTTTTTTACCTCGTTAAGAGGTGTTTTTATTTGATATATCATATATGTCAATATCTGTGTGTACATATTAAAATCATCATTGATATTTCATCGTCATTAAAACCAATTGGAGTATCAATTGCCAAATATGACTTGAAAGTTGTGCTGAAACATCTGATAACGTCTGAAGAATAAATCAATTTGCAAAACCGAATTGCAAATTTATTTATGAGCAGTCGTTATTGGCTCTGTCGAGTACACTTTTTATATGCAATATATAAGTTTAACCATAGTTAACGATATATCTATACTAGCCCCATTGTTGTACATACGTTTTGCTTATAGCCAAAGCAATTTTCACAATCAGATTATCAAATACTACTCTCTATCTATATCTACAACCAAATCCTCCACAAAACAAGACAAATCAAATCTATCGTATTCGTTTTTGAGTTCTGAATACTTTCCGTACTTTCCCCCTTTATATACAACCAAAACTAAGATGCTTTTTGAAATCACCATCGAGATCCTTGATCGATGATTAAGTAAAGTCGAGTAAAATCCAAAATTAAGTTCATCGCTCATCTCATGTCATTGTTATCAATCGTAATATCGTAATAACCAGTTGGTATATTTTAAAATCGAAAACAAAAAACCAAAACACTTCACGTAACCTCTTTTGGAATCTTTTTACGCAATTGTAACTTGTATTTTTGAGCTACTAATTAGCACATTTAGTGTGTTGACATGCCGCACCAAAAACCAAAAAGCAAAGAAAACCAAAAATTAATTGTAAAATCCGGTAACGAGTGACGGAACAAGTCGAGATCGAAAGAAAAACAGAAGTAAAGTATGCGAGTTGTTTGAATGCGAGCAGCATATAATGAAGGAAAAGCATCTTCAGTGTTTCAATATTGAGTTGGCGTATCATATATTAATTCTAGACGATGTAGTTTACAATCAGACAATGGGACCCGGCGCCACCCTGGACAAGCGTCGTCCGGACCTGCGGGATGAGCTCGGCTACATTGCCCCGCCCAACCGGAAGCTGCCCCCCGTGCCCGGATCCAACTACAACACCTGCGACCGGATTAAGCGAGGTACAGTCATAAGTAAGCATCTAAATTTCCAATGCAACATTTATTAATGCCGAGGGTCCATGTCTGGGGCGAAGGTTCTTCAGATTCCAGAACCAGATCCTTGGGCATGGCCCGGGGCTTAGTTCTTTCTTCCATTTACTTTGCGAACGAAAATAAAAAAACACACGAAATGTATTTTGCGTTGCTCTTGCATACACAAAGGGTTAAAAGTCTGCCCACATATCATACCAAGCCAAGCTTTTCCGGACCCAAAAAATTCTTAGTGTTGCTTTTTTAAGCCGCTTCCTTTTCGGTTTCTCCCCCGACATTCCTGGCATGAAAAGAACTATTAAATATACCCATTTATAAATGTTGTTGTTAATTTAGATACATTATTTTTTTTTGCCTATTTCGTTTTGGGAGTTTCCCAGCTTTAATTAAAAATCTATACTTATCGTTTAACCCTCTTGTTCCCCATGCACCAACTCCAAATCCCGCACCACTTCGGTTGCTTCAATTCGATTATGATTTCCGTTGACTTATCTTTGATGTTGTACGAAATTGGAAATTGAAAAAAACCACACACGAAACGAATCCATCCACACACACCTCAACTTCACCCTGAACCACATAAAACCACTCTACGAAATGTCCAGGCCGCGGTGGCCTCCGTTCGAACCACTCGACCTGGGATCCCCGGCGCCCCAATCTCTACGAGGAGCTGAAGGCGCCGCCAGTGCCGATGCACGGCAACCACTATGGCCACGCCCACGGCAATGCCGAGTGCCACTACAGGCATCCAGGTAGGCGGAGCGGAGAGGAGCAACCGCTTCCATCCACGGATTTTATTTGATTTTCCCCCTTAAAACCCCAACTAACCCCACTACCCCACCAGTTGAAAGGAGTGGATCGATAACTGAACAATATAGTCACTTATTAACATATTTACTGCTTTAGTAAATTAATTATTTTCAATTATTTTTGAAGTTCTAAAAATCGATCCCTCTTAGTATTTACCTACTTTTAAGTTACATTACCCGCACTAACGAATAGTCTAACTCTTGGTCGCATTCAGCTAACTCAAGCTAACCAACTAGTAAGTAATCATTTGGTAATAAGGGGTAAGAAAATGGTAACAGGTATCATCGCAGCATACTAAAAACACTAAAACAAATTCACTGAAACCACACGAACATTTATCAGCTCGAACACTAGTAATAATCGATTTATTCTCCCGCAAGGCATGGAAGATGAAATCTGCCCCTATGCCACCTTCCACCTGCTCGGCTTCCGCGAGGAAATGGATCCCACCAAGGCCATGAACTTCCAGACCTTCCCGCACCAGAACGGACACGCCGGCCCAGTTCCCGGACACGCGGGCACCATGCTCCCGCCAGGACATCCAGGACACGTGCACTCCCGCTCCGGATCTCAGTCGATGCCAAGGGCCAATCGCTACCAGCGCAAGAACAGCCAGGGAGGACAGTCCTCGATCTACACTCCAGCTCCCGAATACGATGATCCCGCCAACTGTGCTGAGGAGGATCAATATGTAAGAAGTCCTTATGATGAAGATGGTTTGCATATATCTGATGTGTCTTTTATTATTTATAGCGCCGTTACACCCGCGTCAACTCGCAAGGAGGCAGCCTGTACTCCGGACCCGGACCCGAATACGATGATCCCGCCAACTGCGCCCCCGAGGAGGATCAGTACGGCTCCCAGTACGGAGGACCCTATGGACAGCCCTACGATCACTACGGCTCACGAGGCTCCATGGGTCGTCGCAGTATCGGTGAGTTAAAATAAGCTATTATTTAATGCAAAATTAAAAGAAATGCATTTACTTAAAACCACAGGATCTGCTCGCAACCCTGGCAATGGATCGCCCGAGCCACCACCACCACCGCCACGCAACCATGACATGAGCAACTCCTCATTCAACGACTCCAAGGAGAGTAACGAGATCTCAGAGGCAGAGTGCGATCGTGATCATGGACCACGCGGAAACTATGGCGGTAAGTTGGGAACTTGAGTTATCATCTCCCAGACAAACAGGATGTTTAAGTTTTTATTAACATTAAATATATCTAAAATTCGCCATGATACATACGAGAGATTTTAACAATACCAATTCGCCATCTTTTTCAATTCTCTCTGTTCGAAATTTTGTGTAAAATATATTTTAGAAGACTCCAATGAGGGTGAGTGATCCTAGCCGAAGTTGAGTTAGTTTGTGTGATTATCACGATCATCATTCGAAATCTGATCACCTCTCATACTTCGAATTCTCACGAGCCCCTCGCCTCTCTCGTTCATAATCAACTATATATAACTCCATAAGATATATCCAGCGATCATTGAAATCATCATTGAAAATGTCCTCGCATTTTTCAGAGATTTTAAGTTGTCTCGCTCATAATTAAATATTCACGCTGTGTTTTGCTAAATTTTTGTAAAAGAACATTAACGTTTTAAATGTAAACGTAAATCTTAAGTTATTTCGATTACACTTTTGGTTTTGGTACACAACTTTAATATTTATTTTATTGTTAAGACTCAATTTTACTGCACATTTTACATTTCATTTCACTTCATGGAGCACACCGTTTGCATTTCAATGTTTTATGTTTGTATCTAATCACAACCCGTGAACTCGAATTAATTGTCACTAGAAATCTGCATGGGAGGACCTTTTAGAGGTCCGAATAAGTAAAGATATGGGGGATCCGCACTTATTATGGGAAACATTCCTGCACGAAGTTACTCATTTATGATTGGACGCCGATTTTATAATTTTTGTTAGATCTAAGCTAATTTTATTTTTATGATTTCATATCCATTTCGAATTTTTCTTTCTATTTTCTTTTATGGAACTTTATTAAATTTAAATATTACCCTACTCTATCGGTTCGGGCAACAAAAATCAATTTCTTTTGCAAATATTTCGAACCCCAAAATGCTGAACTCGCAGCAGTGAAGCGATCCCCACAACCGAAAGATCAGCGCACCACCGAAGAAATGCGTAAACTGATTGAAAGGTAAGACAGGCCAAGAGGCCTGAAAATAAATATTCACAAACCACACGTAAATCATCAGTTGTCGAAACAGCTGCACAGAAGTCGTTGACTGTAGTTCTGATGCAGTTTCTCTTTCACTAATCGCAATCAATTAATCTTCCTTTCTTTATTTACGTAATATCCTAATTATGAATGATTATGATCGCTGACAAAAGTCGACGACAGTTGTAAGTCTTGAAAAACCCCTAACAAAATGTGTCTCACCTGCATGCCCACGCACCTACTTATCGATACTAACCAAAAGTGCATCCTAACATCTATGTATAACCCGACTTGAGTTACCGTTTTTTCATTTTAATTTTAATTGTATTGGTTTTGTCTTTAATTTCTTTTGGTTTGGATTTTGGTTTGACAGCAAATCACAGTTGAATGTTTTAAAATCCTTTTGATAAACTACTCCATACGATAAGCAGACCCTATACCATATCTGTCTATCGAAAAATACTCAACTGTTTCCATAAGTACTCGTATTAACAGTTTATTGCAGCTTTGTGCTTGGCCTCAGCTTGCCAAAAAAAGAACCAGAAGTAAACTATGATAAGCCACGAACAGAACATAAAGACACGGCCACCAAGGCGAGATGGGATCGGAGTCTAAGAAAATCCTTAAAAACCCTTGCAAGATCCCATCTCGTTTTCTTGCAATGCTTTGGTTGCAGCATAAACATAATAATCCTAGTCCATTTTTCAATGATCTCCACTAATCAGATATGTGTTTTCCCACGTGCAGAAACGAAACCGGCCCAAAACAACTCCAACTCCAACAAACAAATGGCGCAGGATTCACAGCCTACGATACTATGGCAGTGTAATTTGTAAGGCCCTCCTGCGACGATGGGCGTGGCATTTTAGCTTAGTGTTTTAAGTGCATGAAGTGCGTGGGAGTTGAATGACACTCAGACACACACACAGACAGATCATCAGAACACACGGAAAGAAAATGAGGGGAGTTATATACCGCATATACACATAAAATTATTCAACTACTTCAAGTAATTATAACGAAAAGAATGCAAATTTGAAGAAACATATTTATATTGTCTATGCAAGCAGCAAACCAAACATACATAAAATATATAAATAATTCATATATGAATAACTACTATAAGTGTGTGCAGGAAATACTAAAGGAAATTACTAAAGGTTATACGAGAGATAATACAAGAGCAGCCCCAAGAAAAAAAAGAAATCACAAAAACATACTTATATGAATATTTGAAACTAATTTCTAATAATGTATTTTAGTTTTAAGCGGTGTCTACCGAAATATCAGATGAATTCTTGTGTGTAAAGAGAAGATCGATTTCGAAATCTGTTTGTGTAAACTTTTGCCATTTATGCCAGGAGCAGAAAACTCATCCTTTGCCTAGCCTAAGTCAAAGTCATAATATTAACTCGTCTAATTGATATATTTAGTCATAACTTATACGAATTGTATAATTTCTTCCTATACATTTTGTAATTCTTAAGGACAGCGCACATTTGGAGTTTTGTTTGCGTTTTGCGTTGACTTGTGATGTTTGTTAATTTGTAGAACTTTGTGAGTCAGTAATTGTATTCTGCATTTGCTATATTCATTATGCATAGGACATGTATTTGTCTTATTTTAATTTACTTTTAATTTTTTATTCGAAAATGCGCTTCCAATAGAACAAATCGAAAACTGTTCAATGCACAAATCGCAGCCACAACAATTGAATGTATTATACAAGATCCCCAGGACACCGAAGACCCACACAGATAGACACAAGCACGATTTTTATAAACCAATTCTGATATATACCGTTTTGAACATGAGTTATACGCATTTGAAGCTTTAAGAGAACCTGAAATTGTTTATTTCACTTTATTTGATATATTTTAAGTTATTAGCTCATAAGTTGCTAAATATATGATTTTGATTTTATTTACAATTATGTTTTGTTATTCTTTGGTTGTTTATTGTTTTGGGGTTCCGCCCGTTGCGCCCATGAAAATCCGTGGACAAACCACCAACACTACAAAGACTGACTAATGCGAGCTGAAAACGGAATCGGATCAATCCAAGTTTTGCAGAATGAAAACCCAGTATACAGCAAGGCATTTTCGAGATGAATCCATGATGTTTCAGCAGGCCACTGCCATGAGATCGGAATTGGATTTTGATCCTCGACCTTTGAGCACATCATGTACTGCATTTAACCAATGGGAGACGAAAACACTTTTAGGGTTCTTTATTAGATCTATTATTTCATTTCAAAATCTTTAGTTCCCACTTAACCTATCCAAATTAATACTCACTCTTACCCAGACTATACCAGTTTTATATAGTAGATATATGCGTATACATAAATGTAGTGTTGTGAAAAAACTAAGATTGCTTACCTATATGAGTGTACTACAAATTTTCATGGCAAACGAACTACAAATATTAAGTAGTGTATAGTAAAGGAAACGGCATTTAATCAATAAACAAAGGAAAGAAAAACACCTACAAATTTTGAAGTAATTAAAATAGCAAGCAATATTCTAGAGTCAAAAGAACGTTGGATTTCAAAAAATTGTAACGAACAACACGATTTTAATTACCCTCAATTTATAAACATTTCGGCAAATCAAAATCAAAACAAAAAAACTTTTGGCATTAAAAAGAAAAACGAATAAATAAACAAAGCGGTTTGAAAATTAAAGAACTTAGGATAAGTACGGTAATATTATAAAGACACAACATAATCCATTTTTCATACTATTACGTCACACATGCATATTTCAACTCAAATCGAGTCGAACGCTTTTTGAGTTGCTTCATTGTCGAAAGGATCACTTTTTGCATTTATTAAACGGCGCTACATACTTGTAATTATTTAAGCGATAAGCGTGCATGCATATACAAACATATACAAATAATTTTTTACTTAACTTTACATAAAACGCATTAATCAAAATTTAACTCCCAAAGAAACATTATTGATCAAGTCAGACATAACACGAAAGACATTCAACTTCAACGCACATCAGGCTCGAAAGCGAGAGGAACTAAGCACGATCAGCACACATTTGAATTCTGTAACCGAACGGGACAAGCAGTTTAAAACGCATTTATACTAATCACTCGCTCCTTCTTAGCAGAACGAATATTATATGAAATTAAGAGAAGAATCAATACCCCCAGTGGAAGCATTCGTAATCATTAAGCGCGGCATTATATGGTAAACCCAAAATTGAATACTACAAATATGTGTATTACTAATTACAATTACGAAAGCATACATATATTAACTATATTAAATATTAAATGTATTGAATTGACAAGAATCGGCATGCCGGGGTATAACCATCTTGCTTCCGATCCGCTCTATGTGCGAAAAGGATCGGAAAGACCCACCCAAAACGCGATCACTTTGCATGTGCGACAGGCAAATAATAAATTTGTCAGTTTCCCGTTTCAGTGTCATCAAAGTCAAACAGAAACCATTTAAAATTAAATAAATGCCAATTTATGTTGGATAAAACCAAGTGCTCTCTAATTCTTATCGGCGGGAAAAAAGGATTCGGATTATGCACCTATGTAAAACCATAACAACCAATACCAAAGCTATAATTCGTCTAATGTGCTCTTTAGTAGGGAATCCTGATTTTTGTCTTATTTTCCCAAAAATTGTGTATTTAGGCGAAAACAAAAAAAAACTGTTGCATTTCTAGTCAGATATAAAGTTTGCTAACGTTTTCCAACTTTTTCCAGACAAACGTGTTTTATATTGCATATTTTCAAGCATTTTTTAAAAAAGTGGTTTAGTAAAGTAAAGACAATTACATGCATTAAAAACACAGCATTGCACACTTGTACTAAAAAAAAGGACTTCGTTAAAAAATATTATGCCATTTAAAAAATATTATTTATATATAATTTTAAAACGGGTTACTTTGCATATAATAAGAATAATTACATAAGATCTTTGTGCAGAATTGGTAGGTAAATAAGCATTTATCATATGTTTTCATTGATAAAAAAATTACAGCTCTACTAGGTGTACTTGAGTCCTCTAATTAACCCACATATAAAATATTTTACCGGTAAGATTATGTTCCATATTATCTTTTTTTTGTGAATGTTAAAATAGTGAGCTACCGGTTTTCTTAGGCATTGTGATTTTTTTCGCAATAATATTCACGGGGCTTCTCCCTTTCAATTGACAACAGATGTATGTTCACTTCCCCGGCGCAAACGTTGAAATTTAGGACAACAAAAACCAGCCTTTCCAGCCGCATTATTTGCACTTAAATATTTGGCCATCGGAGGCAGCACTGGGGATTTGCACATCCAGTTAGCGACTGCAGGCTAAGCTCTCTGCAAAGAACAAGTGCTGATGCAAACACCGCACGTTGGCCATGCCAATAGCTCAGTGCCAGCGACACCTGCAGGTCCAGAAATGCAGAAGTTACCCAAGTTTTTTCGGTCATCATCATTATTTGCATATGGCATATGGCCGATTGCCCAATTCAATCAAAAGCCGCTTACAATTCACACTCTCCGGGCAGAGAGGCCTTGCATAATATAATTAATTGTTGCAAAATCCGATGATTTACAACTAAATGTGGCTCATTAAATGTATAAAACCAAGCCGCCATGCCCCCATGTAAACGCCTCCCCAATAAAACCATGTGGATGTGGTCGGTAGTTAAGGCAAAAAGGAGAAAAAAAATGAAAATAATTCGCAAACAATTGCGATTGGCGCCCCGGCACATCCAACAATTGTGCATTGTCTTCGCTGCTGTGACGCGGCTGCATAACACAAGTTTCAACATGCAAATGGGCGGCGCGGGCAGGGGAATTCCCCTCAATTGAGCGTTTAGCCGCTAAATGGCCTGCGAGCTACGAGCTACTGACTGCTGGCTACTGGCGATGGAAACATGACAAATACTCCCATCAAATATTGATCATTTAGCGTATCAGTCGCAGAACTCTGGGTGGAAGTCATAAACTGCAGTTGTCGAGGAGGTTTTTGCCATAAATCTAAAGCATTGGGGGAAGGGAGGCCAAACTGAATGGTAGGGAGAGAAAATAAAATGAAAACAGAGCAAAAAGTAATATCAATGTTTGACAATCAAGTCGTTTGCATTTGAATGGCTGGAGGAAGCCAACGGGGGCATTTCAAGCTCCGAACAAACACTGCAGTTGCAAGCTTTGGGCGTCAAGCGTGGCCAGCATTTGGTTAATGGGGGCGTGGCAGCAGGTGGAACAAGTAGGCCACAAGGGGACTATGCCATAATTTGCATGGGCTGAGTAAACATCATGTGAAATAAAGGAGAAATGATAAGTTAAAGCATAAAGCAAACACAATAATCAATTAAATGATTGGGCATAAAAGTAGGTATTGTTAAAAAATATTAATTAAAGTTTTATGAGGTGCTAAGTATTTGTAAATTAGTTAACTTTTTATTTCAGTTTTAATTTATGTATTGTGTGTGAGCAGCTGACCAATTTTTTTGCAAGTTATAAGAAGTGAGCCTATAAAACTTATTCAATGAAAATATATAAATAAAGTAAAGTAAAGAGTTTAATGTTTTGAAAGTCCCGGCAATTAAATAAAATGTGACTCAAATATTTGTTGTGCCTGTGCAGAAAAATTAAACTTTTTCATTAGGAAGCAGGAACTTAGTTTAAATGGTCGTTAATAGGGTAATTAAATAACATGAGCTACGGCTAAGGGAAATGCATAATAAAATACCACGACATCTCAACAAACTAGTCACAATAGACGCGAGTCACTGGCACTCTTGAAAATTGAATAAATTGAATAGGAAAGAGTTTGGGATTGCGGGACATTTGTGAGTTGGCCAAACGAGTTCGTTGCCTGAGTCTTTTGTTTGCAACGCAGCGTTGAGCGGCGGTCAGCTATAAAATGGCATTTATATAGATTGGAGATACGGGACAAGCGCGTTGACAACGCAATCTCGGTGCCGCCCTTTAATCATCTTTAACGGCCCCCGACTGCAAGTACTTCGAAGTAGTACTACTACTACCACTACTACCCACGTCTGCCCGTTTGCAACATCTCGTTTGCCATTTCGGCAGCGTCATGGCTTTTGTGGATGGTTAGTGACTTAGTTGCCTCACCGCTCGTTTCTCTCTTGGCGGACTGCCGCTAATTCGCGCCGTCTCCGCATTTAATCAGCGAGTCTTGCCGGCGACCTTGCCACACTTGAAATGCACTTGCCTAATGTCAACTCACTTCAAAGGGGGAGGCAGCCTCCCTCTGTCTCTGCTCCAGTTCTTCGGTTCGACTTCGCTGTGACCCACATCCACATCCACAACTGCTGCTGAAAAAGAGTCAACAGCACCGCCACCTGCGAGCAATAACCCCTCGTCATCCGCACAGAGTTGCAGCTTCACGCTCCGCGGCTTCACAGCTCCAAATTCATCACGTGCCTCGCGGCTGCGGTTGGCGTCTTGAACCTGAGCCACTACATTTAGTTATTTGTACAAGAAATGTTTCGTTGCCACTTTTTTTTTACTCTTGCTTTTGTTTTTGCTGGGCGTTTGCTGCGTTGCGGGGCGCAAACAAAAGATTTATTACAATCAAATATTTCTGTCGCTGCGCCGTTGTTTTGTTTTGATTTGATTTTTTAATTTTTTGTTTTGTTTTGTTAGCTAAAATTTATTTTTATTACATTTTTTCAATTTCTTTCACTCGGTCTGTGTGGCTGGCTACGTTTTGTTTCGGCTTGAGGCTTGTGCAATGGTTGGGATGTTGCTATGTTGCTGTTGCTTTAATAATTAAAACAACAACCATTATGTGCTTCACTCGAATGCGTTAAGTGTCGGTTGTTGTTGTTGCTGCTGTTGTTTCTGCTGCTTAGTTATAATTTTTAGCTCGTAAGTCTAAGCTTAGCATGACACTTGTTATATAAAAACGGAATGCACTAAGCACTAGCCATGTCGAACAATTGCAGTTAACAAAACATTGATACGGATATTTTGGCTTGTGACAAATTTCGAACAAAAGAAGACAATGGTGCGTTGATAATGGTTTCAAAATTGTATAAAAATCGAATCGATTTTCTCTGTTGTTAGGAAAAACAGGGCTTCGGCGACCTTGGCCTAATTAGCCCCTAATTGTTGCACCAAAGAAAGAACCTCAAATGCTGAAAAATAACCGATTATGCAAGGGAAGGAAATTCAATTACCAAAAGTCAAGGAAATACGCGAAGCGAAGACAGCCGCCCATTGTGCTCATTAACAATATGTATTGCATCTGCCGGGTTTATCGTGGCTCATCTTTCGCCTGTCAGCCTTCGGCGGCATCCACACCCCCTAACAAACGCAATTGTTGATTTGCCAAAATCTCTGGCAACATCATTAGGCAGCACAAACTACTGACTGAGATTTGCCAACTGCAAACTGGGAATGTTTGCTTGAACTCGAACTTTTTGCTGCGGTTACCTAATCCCCAGGCTCCGATTGCAACTGCAGCGGCAGCGTATCAACCGGTGCAACAGTTGGCTTCCTCTGCTAACCTTATGCGGGTTTCGCTTTTTGGCACACAGACACACTGCGCGAAAGCGGGGGGAGTCAATTAAAGCAACATGTGGCAACCGACCGAGTGACTTGGAATTGCGGAGCCGTTAGATGCGGTGCCACCGCGCTCTCCCTTCGGGCTGAAACTGAAACTGAGACTGCATCTGAAACTGCATCTGCAATCGAAGCTGCAACTGAAACTGAGGCTGAGGCAGCTGCATTCAACTTCAACTTGGCAACAGGAAGTGGCAGCGGTATTGTTGCCGCTTATCTGACGCGGAGATGCTTCCTTGAGATTTATTTGGCATCTAGGCAAAAGGCAAAAGGCATCGCCATCCCATCAACATCCACAACATCATCATCATCGTCATCGCCATTGCAGTTGTTGACTTTGGCTCATGGCCTTTTTGCCAATTCCAGCTGAACGATGGTGCCGACTTTTTTGGACTTTTCGGCACTTATCTAACTTCCGGGTGTCGTGGGTCGAATGCGAACATTTATGAGTTGCATCTTCGCTGTAATGGCCATCGAATTCGATTAAAAAAACATCCAAAATTGCTTCATCCACAAAAAACGGGGAGCAACGCTTCATCCCGTCCGATGTTTTGCAGATGCGCCAAGTTGGTAATTTCCCCCAGACCGTAATTAAAAGCATTTAGTTTTTATGTTTATGTTTATAGTTATTGTTATAGTAGTTTTTATTTTCGTTCCAACTATACGAGAAATATTTTTGTACATCAAATTTCGTGAGTGTGTGTGGTCCGCTTGGGGATTATAATTAAGTTTAAGTACATATTTACAAAACAATTTCTTTTCGCGGGCCTTTTGTTGGGTTTTTGCCCATATAAAAAATACCAAATAAAATATGTTTATAATTTTTGTTGTTTTATTGAATTTTGTATAACTTAAAGACAAAAACGCGCGCATGACTAATTTGTACACTTGGGAGAGACGGCGATGACAGGGGGAGGATGGGTAATTCCAACAGATAACGAAAGGTATGAGGTGTTTTGTACAAAATGCAGGAGGGAAGTAGGGATGCCTTACAACATTAAGTCTATGTAACAATTTCAGCGGGTGTTTTGTGATCTGAGGGGAAGGAGGAGGAGGATGGATCGCAGGTGGATCAGCGGGATCAGTTATCAGAAATCAGTCAGAGACAACTGTCCATGGGAATTAGTCCCATCCGTGGCCATGGCTCACCGGCACCCAGACCTTCTCCCAGACGGGCTTCCACACCTTCTTCCACTCCTGCACCTTGACCTCCTTCCACACGGGCACATTCACAGACTGCCACTCGTCCTTCCACGCCTGCCGCTTCTCGGTGGCCCACACCTGCTTCTTCTCGGTGCGCCAGATCTGCACCTTCTCCTCGATCCAGGTCTCGCGCTTCTCCTTGATCCAGATCTGCTTCTTCACGGGCTTCCACACCTGCAGGTTGCGCTTGTGAGTCAAGGAATCCTATGATTATAAACTAGGGCTACCCACCTGAATCCACTCGTCCTTCCACTCCAGCTTCTTGTCCTGTTTCCACTCCTGGACCTTCTCCGTCTTCCACTCCTGCTTCTTCTCGGTGCGCCACTCCTGCTTCTTCTCGGTCTTCCACTCCTGCTTCTTCTCGGTGCGCCAGACCTTCTTCCACACGGGCTTCCACACGAGCTTCTTGCGCCAAAGATCGTGGCTGGTGTACTCCCAGCCCTCGTGATCCTTGCCCAAGAACTTTTCACCGGGAATGCCCATTTTTACCTGTTTTAAAACCAACTTGGTTATGGCTTCTACAAAAGATAACTATAGGAACTCACCCATTGGGGCTCAAACATTTGCTTCCAGTCTGCCACCTGTACTTCCTTCCAGATGGGCACTTGGATCTCCTTCCAGAATGGGACCTGCACCTCCTTCCAGATGGGCACCTGGATCTCCTTCCAGACGGCCACCTTGGTGGGCACCCAAATCGGTTTCGTTATCTTCTTCCATTCGGCCACCTTGACCTCCTTCCAGGCGGGAACCTCTCGCTCCTCGATCTTCGGCTTCTTCACGATCTTCCAGTCGGGAACCTGTTCTTCTTTCCAGACTGGAACCTTAACCTCCTTCCAAATTGGAACGGAAACCTTCTTCCACTTGGTCTCCCACGCCTCCTTCTTGACGGTCTTCCACACCTGCTGCCAATCCTCCTTCCAGGTGAGCTTCTTCTTCCACACACCCTCTGGGGGATGGGCGTAGGCTAAACTTAGGATTAGCGCGCAGCTGGCGCTGAGTAGCTGAGGGAAATTATAGAAAATAGAAGAATTGTTATAGGAACTCAGTAGTATGCCATTATATTTTATTTTATATTGGAGGTTCTTTTTTTGGTATTTTAATTATAGTCAAGTTCAAATATCTGTAGCTACTCTTCTTTACATATGTATTTAATAACATTTTATTATGAATCTTTTAGTTTTAATTATCGTTAGTGTTCCAAGACATAAACTTCGACCTTATATAGAGGTTGTTATACCCTTGTAGAGGGTATTATAATTTCAGTCAGATGTTTGCAACGCAGTGAAGGAGACGTTTCCGACCACATAAAGTATATATATTCTTGATCAGCATCACTAGACGAGTCGATCTAGCCATGTCCGTCTGTCCGTCTGTCCGTCTGTCCGTCGGTCCGTCTGTCCGTCTGTCCGTCTGTCCGTTTCTATGCGAACTAGTCTCTCAGTTTTAAAGATATCGCGATGAAACTTTCCCGAAAGTCTTCTTTCTATTGCAGGTAGTACATATGTCGGAGCGAGCCGAATCGGACCACTATATCTTAAGGCTCCCATAGGAATATTCAAAGATATATAAGAAAATTCATTGTTACTTTGTAGGAAGTAGGCGCTTTAATTCTTGACTCTTTAAAAACAAAATTCAAAAATAGAAACGCTGAATCTGCAAGGGTATATAAGCTTCGGCTGGCCGAAGGTAGCTTCCTTTCTTGTTTTTAATTTGATCTTAGTTTTTAGGTTTTGATTTGTTTGTTTCATCCATAAACTTTATTATTATTTTTGCACTGGTGTTTTCACTTCAACTGTTCATTTTTTTATACACATGTTTTAGGTAGTCTTTCGAGGATTCACTTTGGTAACTTTCGTATTTTTTTTTTCGGACACTAACCAACAGACTTAGGGATCTCATGCTTGGTATCCCTTGCACCACCAACGTCGCGTCAAAACAAAAGGAGCTGATATGTGCCTCCTCTGAGGTCTTCTATGAACACTATTCGCATTTCCCTACATGCACATCTATTTATATTTTGAATGGTCTCGTCTCCGGCGTCGCAGTCGCCGTGGGCAGAGCACCAGAGCGCCGGAGCAGCGGCGGCCAAAACAAAAGAAAAACCAAATCAGCAACCGCCAGCGGACCAAAGCTACGCCGCTCTGCCCAGGTGACTTACTCCAGGTGCAAAATGCACGCAGCCGCGGCGTCGCGTCGCTGCCGACGTTCCATCGAAAGCAAAAGCAGAAGCAAAGTAAAAGCAAAAGCAAACTGAAATCGAAAACCGCAGAGAGTGAGAGTGGAGTGGAGAGGAATGGCGCTCAGCTGATGGAGCTGCCTCAAGTTGGAACCGCTCTTGGACCGCCGATGACTGCGCGGATTTTCCCAAGGTAACGGCGCAGCTTCAAAACAATACGAACAAGACCACGAATACGCATACGTACCGTAGGCCGGCCTCAAGTGCCGAGCGGTGGCTTTGGACCCCGGATCTGTAGGTCCATGGGTCCACGGATCACTTGAGACCCATCTTCGCGGAATGGAATGGATGGTCAGAAGAAGAAGAAGACCCCGAGGTAGAATGCGAACGCGAGGTGATCGTAATTATGATGTTGGCTGCGGTGATTGGTCAAGTGCAACGCCATCCAATCCTACGCAGCTGAAAACTAAGAGGTGTACTTGGGGCTCATCATTCTTTGGTGAGTTAATTTTTTACACTGATAACTGTTAACCCTGATTTTATTGTCTCAATTATGCACAATTGTAATTAAGTTTTATTATTGTTTGTTCATTTAGGTAGCTTATTTGAAGGAATGATCATTTATTTTAAAAATAATCTTTGAATTGGGTTATTGTTCACATCAGATCGTCATAAATTGCGGTATTATATGATCCAAATATCAATTAAATATGATTTGTAACAAATGTGTATTTCTATTAATCCGGTGATAGGATCAAGGTCTTTTAACTAAACATTTTATTATTTTTTATCTGCGTGGGTAACCAAAATTAATAACCATCGAATGTTTTTTGCAAGCTGCTATAGTAAATCCAAATTACTGCCATAATTAAGGGGCGTTGTAGTAATTTGGCTTTACTATAACAGCTTGTAGCAAACGATCGAACTTTGCATGTAGCATTAATCATCTGCCACCATCATCCCAAAAAATAAGTTAATAGGGTAACGAAGTCCTCCCCTCCGAAAAGCGATCAATCAATAGCAACGCAAAGTGGTTCACCTCCCATCGATAAGGTCAATTGCTGTGGGCGTGTAGCGCCTGACTTTGTTACATTGGGCCAAAGACACTAAGTAGTCTTAAGCTGCGGCGATTTGGGCTACGTGCCCGCATTTTATATGGCATGATTAACCATGCCCGACTCTCCGCTCTGAACTTGAGTGACAAACAATTAGCACGGCTAAGTTCGGGCAGTCCAGTTGCTTGCAAAATGATCATCGGAGGAATTCGGCTGGGCAAACGGAAAACAACAAATGCCATTTATGGCCGGGTCGACCTAACCGCTCAAATGGCAAGGCGACCTCCGCGGCATGAAGACGTTTAGCGCCACCAATGGTAGTGATTTTGTGCACTCAGAGAAATTAAATATTTTCAGGGAGATATTCAAACCATCATATATTTATTCTTGATTATAATCCCAAGAATTCCCGTATTTTTCTAACTCTTGTCAAAACTATACTTTTGAAAAGAGAAATCAGTCCATTTCATTTTAGAAATAATTTCAAATACAAAAAATATATATTTAATTAAAATAATATTCCAAGGTAAAAGTAAATATTTAGGTAAATTTAGTGGCGTCTTTAAGCTACCTATAAATTATAATAATCAAAATAAACCTAAAATAAACATTGTAGATTTACTTAAATTAATATTGCAAATTTAGAGGTGCCTTTTAGCTACCAAATTTTCTCAGTGATATTCTGGTAGTTCGCTTCAATGACTTCCAGGGGCCAAATGGACTTTTTAACATGGTGATATGATGCGCGTTTTATGGACACCCGGAAAGTTTGGCCACTGGGCTTTGATAGATGCGCCAAGACCAAAGAGTTGGCAAAATAATTAACACCCGACAAACGGACCAAGTCTGCGCTTGAGTCCCAGACGCATCGAGCTCTGAAGTTGACCCCTCGAGACAACGACGACAACCCAATATAATCGTAAATAATACATTATGCAGAAATTGAAACCGACAGGCTGGTCGCCCCAGAAATTACATCACTATCCAAAATCCCAGGAGGCGGGGCGGGCAGACGGCCTTCAGTGCAGCAGTGCAAAAAAGGAGAAACAGACAAACTGAAGCCAGACTCGACATGTTAAGCCAATTTACCAAAAAACCAAAACTCGAAATTAGGTAAAGAAACACGAATATAATGAAGAATGTGCAACAGGCTCTGCACTCGGATCGGAGTGTATTTTGTTTTATTTTCGCCCAACTCGCTTTTTGTTGTGCAAAATGAAATTGAAATTCCTGAAACGTGCAGAGCCCAGCAGATCTGCGACGATTGTCGACTGGCAATTCGGGTTTCGGTTTGGCTTCCCGACGAAGATGTCGTGGATGGAGTCAGGATGGATCGGTGGTATATAGGTGGTTCGATGGTTCGATGGATGGCGGGCTGCAGGCTCTGGAAACACCTTTCGCTGCGGTTGTCTTGTTGTCCCTGCTCACCCAGTTGCATAATTTACGGCATCTCTTTATTGATCTGGACGCTTATGCCTGTATGTAGGTTATGCATTGCCTTATATTATGACTATCGGCCAGACAGACAGGTTTCCGCTGCACGGATAGGAAGCGTGTGAAATTGGCTGGAAAACGACTTAGACCAACCACCGAGCAGAGAGCACCGAGTGCTGCAAGGAAGGAAAACTGAAATTGAATTTAAGAGAAAGGTTTGATGGGACTGACATTTCGCTTAAAATGTTTTGGCAGTTCATTCAGCTAATCCCATAATGGTTAAGATTTGTTGTAGCTGGGAGAGAAAAGGAGGAGGTAAAGTGGCACTGACAGAAAATATTTAAACTGAAGGGTCATAAATTAATGTAAAGATAGAAAATATTCACCCTTAACCAACGCAATATACCCTGAAAATAGTGCCACTTACAACTGTGCCACCATTTATTTAACTAACATTTATATTATTGAAATCAAAATGGATAGCTCGTAATAATAAGTTTATAGGATTTTTGAGCCACTAAGATTGGAGTTCAAAATGCATTGTAAGTTAATCAAAGAATTTAAAGTTCTAATTATGAGTTTAATCACAGCTCCATGATATTTCAAAAATTCTTTGTTTCACTTTTATTGCATTTCTTGCTAATCAAATGCATTTCCCATCGCCCCACCGGGCGTATACTTAATTTTATTGCACATACGCCTCATTGAGTGGGTCGCTGTTGCAATGCGACAGCTAGAAATAGCAGAAATGGCAGGCACTTATCCGCCGAACAATGAGCCATAACAAAGTGCTCACGTTCACACATGGTTAACCTTCAATCGGTCTCTCGGGGATCAGGCCTAATCCGAATGTGGATGAGGTGGTGGAGGCTGAGGAGGAGCAGGCTGACCACCTTCATGGCGGTCTGCAGCGTCATCGCCATCATCTCGCCGGTAATTGCTTGTGGCTTTCTTCACTCGCCCCTCGACACTTGGTACTTGGACTCTTGGGCTGCTCCAATTTGTTACGTGGAGCTGAAGACTGGAAACTGGACCCAAATTGGGCCCAAAACTGGAGCTGCAGGTGTGCTCGAGTGTTGACGTTAATGTCATTGTTGCCACGGTCCAGCTGACCCACATACATGGCAAATGAAGCAGCGCTAATTGCAGGCCGATAAATTGATTTCATTGCAGTTGCATCACGCATCCCATCCATTCGATTCCATTCCATTCGAAGCGGTGGGTGCGTTTAGTCGGCTTAAACGGAATGCCAAATTAATTGGCCCGGTAATCAGAGTTGAAAGTGCGTGCACACTTAGCCTTTAGTGACTTTAGTGGATTTAGCAGCAGGTGGCCAAGTTGGCGCCAAGTGCTGGCCGAAATTCGAAATCCGTTCGGAAAGATGAGCGTCGGTTCACTTGTTTCCGCCAAGGTCATCCGCATGCAGAGTTAACAACATGTTGAACACCGCCAACGGGTATTAACGCTTATTAATGGCAACATGCAATGCGCCTTTGTTGCTCGGTTCACTCTGTTCACTCTGTTGCAATGGCCATTAGGCCAGAAGATGCTGACTTGCAGACGGAACATTGATTATGGCCAGTCGTCCTTTACAGATACAGATGCAGATACAGTTACAGATACAGATACATGTGCAATTTGCCATCGCCCCGAATGTGGCCGAATGAAACCGGCTCAGTGGCAGATATTACGCAACATCCAATGGCCAAAAGCGAAGCTAAGCCAGGCCAGCCGTTTTATTCACACAGTCAGAGGTCTCGCATTCCAATTTGCGTAGACTCGTCGCAAAAGTCCACTAGTGGGGAGTTGGAGTTGAAATGCTGCTGATGCTGATGCTGCCCACTCCTGTGCCCCAAACTCCAAACTTTGGCTGTCGGCTGTTAGCTGCTGGCTGCTCCAAGTTGGTCAGGCAGTAAGGCAGTCAGGTAGGCAGCTGCACCCGCTGCAGTTGATTTCCTCATTGCTACACAGTGCAAAATATTGCCATGACGTTTGACTGTTTGACCTCCGGGAAGTCTGTTGGTGGCAGGAAATGTGGGGGAGAAGATACCAGGATCGGGAGTTTTTAAAGTGTTTTGGGGTAAGTCAGCAAAACAAATAAATAAAGCCTTAAAACTTTTTCATAAAAAGAAGAGTCCCTAACATTTTAAGAGGAAATAATAACTTTTGATTGAATGTAGTCCTTTGAACACTAAATAGGCTGAGTAAATTGCAGGTTTTCTCGAGCCTTTGACATTTTTAATTAAGAAGTGAATAAAGTTATAAGTTCATTCTTTTTTTAGTTTTTTAAATAAAATGTAAAGTGGAAGTGGTTAAATATTCA